AAATCAAGATCTACTTTCGCTTTCGTTACCACCGAGAGTTTGCCAGCAGTTGTCTGATAACGCAACATTTGTGGCATGCAGATTGTGCAGTATAAACAATAAACACAATGTCGCCGTTCAAATAAAATGTAATAAATACTCTGACTCGTCGCTGTGCTGTCACTTGTGGGAAAAAAAGGAAAAGAAAATACAAGCGTCGTCCGATTTTTAGATTGTCTGGCTTGCCATCGTGACCGGTCACTGAACCTGCGCGCATTCGCCTCATAAATAAATGCGGCATCGTGTGAGCAAAGACCGTCTTTGTGGGACTAAAGGCGTGCGAAGTATAGGACTACGGAATAGGGGAGGAGATTATTGATTTTTGGGGGGGGTTAAGATACTATCGGGGGTTTAAGGCAACACCAGAGGACAAAAACCTGGAAGCACTTTTCAGAATTTTGATTAGAGCTTTCTGCAAAGCGCGCGTTGGTGCAGGCCATGTGCGGAATCGGGACCCCTCATACTTTGCAAGTCTGTGTTATTGAAATAAAGTGTTCGCGTTTCATTGGATGGGCGATAGTAAATTATACCTACTTGGATTGGTGATAGTAAATTATACTACCTACAGTGTATGTTGTAGCTTTCTGTTCAAGACTGGCAGATTTTCAGTGCCACTGCATCTTGCCCTACCACAGTTGTTACAACTCTCACAGTGCATGGGTCTACTTGAGCCATTCAAGTTATTGCTTTTCTCTGAGTTTGAGCAATAATTTGAGTCTTGTCAGTTCATAATATTATGAATCATGACACCCAGACTGGTTCTTAATAGTCGAAATTCTTGTTCTAGGCTCTTCCGAACTCTCAAAGCAGGATTTATTTTTTATATAATAATGAGAGGAAAATATTATATAATAGACTGAAATACTTAAGTCAAACAAGACCCCAGTACAACATTGAACACTGACATGTTGTTGACTGGACACATGTATATTGTACGCGTGTGTGCTCCCTTAAATTTCAAGCTGGTGAGCTAGTAATTTTTTTTGGGGAAATATTGCTGGACAACCTGAACGTTTTACTATTTCTGGTTGGTCGACCATCAATGATTTATTTATAGAGGCACCAGCCATCCATGTCCAGGTGCTGTTTTAGCCTACTGGTTGGTCGGTCGGTCGTGGGGAATACACATTTTCACTTGAAAATACACATTTTCATATTTCCCAATACTCATTTCGGTTTTCTGTGGTTGGCATCTCTGGGTTAGTTTAATACTCTATCCTCCAAAGTGTGGAAGTTGAGGCACATGTTTTGGTTAAATTGGAAAATCAAGTTGGTTGTGATAAGATAATAAAAATGAAATTGGGTGAAAGAGAAACGTCACGGGTTGCTTTGTTGTCAAAGTGTTGTTCTTTTGTGTCTACGTCAGGGCGACCATGAAGAGTTCAATCAGTGCCAGACACAGCTCAAGCTTCTCTACTACGAGGGTCTGAAGGGGAACCAGTTGGAGTTCAAGGCCTACCGCATCCTCTATTATATCTACACTTCCAATACATTAGGTGAGAAGGGTGTTTACCAGAAAATGATATAAAGATTTACCCTATCCATATGCCCTGGAGTCATTTTGTATCCCCGGGGTTGTATTCTTCGCATTTTAGAATACTTCTAGTGCGAAGATCTCTTTCAGACTTTCATTATTTCTGAAAAAATCATTCTGACAGACTACTATGCAAAGCGTGCGGATCGGATTGACGAGTAAATTTCCTCTTTGGAAAGTGGTGGCACAGAGTTCCCCATGTCTTATGGATACAGTAGTAAAACACGATGTACGGATAGGGTTTAGTAGGATACATGTATTTTAAGAACCACTGGTGTGTAAGCCCCGGTTACACTCAGCGATAAATTGTACCAGATTCGTCGTATGAGAGAACTGTCTGTTTTATCGAACTGTGCTGTCTGTTGGCGCTTATATAACCTTATGCAGTTGTTAGCGCCGTAAAAACACTACTAAAACTAAACTGTCTTGTCTGTTTACATGTTCCATCTATCATTAAGTTTTCTTTCGATTGAGGAGATTCCTCGTAATAAAGCCACCATGTCTCTTTGCGATGACATGGATTTGCCTGCTCTCTATGTGAAGGTTTCGAGCTCTGGACCGAATGAATGAAAGGCGAACACTGTACCTCTAGATCACAAGAGCGCCCCCCTTCCCCTGTACATTTTGATTTAGCAGAACAGTGTCTTTAGAAAAGGGTGGCTATTCTGTAGGCCTACCGTGTTGTGTGTAGAACTAGAAGCTATGGCTTGACTGCAGATGTGCAACGCACTGAGTGACCTTGATGCACAGCTTCACCGTTGACGATCAATTAAACAATAAAAATTCTAAAATATATATAACACACCAAATCAGGTTCATCGCGAGCAACTTTGCTTTTTTTTTTTGAGACGCTGATTCTGAATATAAAATCAGTTTTTACCTACGATAATTATTTTAAAAAATTTGAGCCCTGAAATTAGTTCTGCGTTGCGGCAAATTTCAAAGTGAATCTACGTCACAGCGCGTCTCCCTCAAGTCTGATCTTGACCACAAGGAAAATATCAATCAGCGCTTGATTTCTCGACCGAGTCTCTAAACCATAGTTCAATCGTCTAGATTTGGTACAAGTTTGTGGTTTCACATAACGATTTATCGTGAGATTGCTATATCGTCCAGTTTTTTGTACAATTTATTGTTACGTGTAACCGGGCCTTTACTTGTTTTCCTGTCAGTTATGCTGTAAAAGTTATGTTCCACCACATGGCATTCTTGTGTACTGCTGGCCTTCCTCATAGGTCATTCCAGAGAAGGGCTGAATGCCAGAGGAAAACCTAGTCTGATTGAATATATTGTTCCAGCAACGGCTATGTCGTTGGAACACCCAATCAGACTGACATCCAATTCATCAATTCATTCTCGCAAAGTTCTGTCCCAAATTGTTCTCTTTGGTAAGAGGTGAAACTAGTTTGGTATTGAGCATTTTTTGAGTGGGGGGAGGGGTTGTTTCAAATATTCATTTTAACTTTAATTTAATGTAGTACTAGTTTTAACACTAACTGACTGTCACTGTGTTAATATTATGCTTCTTTTCACTTTTTTAATACCCTTTGAGGTTGGGTTGGTTTTTGTTGGGGTTTTTTTTCAAAGATTGCTCTGTGGCTGTATACGTATTTTCCCCATGACAAATGCAATGCTTGATTGAGAATGACTGATTCACTGATACAAGCTTTGTTCTCTCTTCCTGATGTGACAACGGCTTCCTCTTTGCATTTTCCCCAGATTTAACCACAGCCTTAGCGTCACTGAGTGAGGAGTGCCGCAAAGATGAATGCATTAAGCATGCCCTGAATGTTAGAATAGCTTGGTCCCTCAATAATTACCACAGGTTTTTCAAATTGTATGAGGCTGCCCCCAAAATGTCTGGCTATCTTATGGACTGGTTCATTGATAGGGTTCGCAAAACGGCACTCAAACTCATCATCAAAGCGTACGTATACACACACAGTTTTGCTTATATGATTGTTATCCTCTTCCTTTCCTTGTGCTTTTTCTGTCGGGTCCTCTTCCTTCCTTTTCCTTAATGGAGATGGTGATGGGAAGTGAGAGCTACGAGTTGGTCCTTTTAGTTTAGGTCTTTTTTTTCCCCCTACTGCTAACACACATTCTGTCTTCTCACTTTTACTAGCACTCTACTGTGTTCAGGTGCTTCTTTCTTTATTGGACTACACACTTGGAAGTTCAGTTCTATCAGTTAATAGTTTGGTGTCCTAAGTAAAGCAAACTATTATCCTGCATATTGGGGACTGCAGACTTGTTCACGTGGGATTCTTATAATATATGGGGGGGGGGGGGGGGGGGGGGG